TCTTTGTTCTTTAGAAAATAGTGCTACCTCCATCCCTAATAAAACTTCCAAATGGGTTGGGCACACAGTTTAAGATAGTGGGTATTGTGTAGTGGAGAGTTGTGCAGAGGAGAGAGAAATGTGTAAGAACTAAGAAATGTTGTGAACCAGAAATTCTTTACCAAAAAGGGAAAGTGGAAGTTTTAATTGGGACGGACGAAAAAGGAAAGTTGGAAGTTTATTTAGGGACGGAGGGAGTATTTTAAAACTTGACAGAACAAGTATGCGAGTTTTGTCATCTTTCATGGACTGACAGGATTTTTTTTGTAGAGCAAAGTCATAGACAATGTTATCTTCAGGAATTTCCTAGAGTTAGTACCTGAGATTCGAGAACTTATCAATGATTTCTACACAAGGTAATAAATGTGAATTAATTGCTATATATGTAATGAATATAGATTCTTACTCGGATATTTCTTTAATTATAGTTTATTCTTTGCAGTCGCTATGCTTCGTGTCTTGGATATTTAGAAAACCTGAAAACAAACTTAATGCTTGACATCCATTTGCATGACCATGTCGAGACGCTGTACAACCAAATCCGTAACAAAGCTCTCATCCAGTACACGCATCCCTTTGTTTCTGTTGATCTGCACATGATGGCCAATGCTTTCAAGACCACTGTGTCTGGGTTGGAGAAGGAGCTTGAAGCTTTAATTACCCACAATGAAATACAGGTTATAATGAACTTTACAGTTACTATTACCAGACCCCTTTTCCTAGCCACTTGTTAGGCTATGTTTGGAAGAGGCAATATAATATGAAAGTGAAAAAACATGTTGATGATCTTTTTAGCCCCTCCCCAGAGAAAAGTTACTAACATAATACTCAAGGACAAAAACGTAACTACATGGTCACTCACTCCACCACTACTGTAATTGCACGAGTCAAATATAATTATTTTGCACAAGGGTGTTTCTTTTTTGTCTGATAATTATTCTAGTATTGCATCTGTCATTTTTTAATGTTTGTGTTTTTTTTTGCATGGGAAAATACAAAGGGAAGTAAAAGGAGATTAAAAGTTTATAAAATTTTGCACGCATTTAGACTTCTTAGAAGTATATTCAAATGAATTAAGTTTGAACAAATATTTAGCATTTTTCTGGTTCTATGCGGGTGCTAACGAGTTCTTCCAAGGAAACACCTTCCCACATACATGTGGTGGCTTCATACATGTCACTCATTGGTTTCTGAGTCACACTTGGGTAGTGTCTATATGGAAATTATGTGTTTTTCTTTGTTTTACCCATATGATGATTGATGAGACATTTTTACATTGGTTCTTCTTGCAGGCTCGGATTGATTCACATAATAAAATTTTATATGCAAGGCATGCTGATATGAGAAATGCAACCTTCCAAAGGGTGCTGCAGACAGGTAAGGAATTCGATCGAGATGTTAAAGCTTTACTTTTGAGAGCGAGCCTTCTGAAGCACGACTACAACAACCGATCATCGTCAAGGAAACACTCTAGCGGCATCTGATCATTAGGGATTGAAAAAGAAAAAAATGCTTAAATTTATTCTTGAAGTTCTTTTTTCTTTCTTTGTGGGTTGTTTGACCTCAAGGATGGCTGGTTTTTGCGGTGGGCACACAATTTTCCAATTGACTAGTAGAAGTGTATAACACATTGGCCTCTTAAGTCTATATTGTTGTGTTTCATATTATCCTCCAATCTCTGTCAATAACTCTATATTATTGGAATGAGAGCCGTTTTGAATTTTTTGGAAGCGCAATTATTACGTAGTCATGTTTCCTAATATGATTATAGTATGGTTGTATTCTCACAAAATAAAGCACCAAATTAGCCTTGTGTTTTGAAGTAAAATGAATTTATATATCAAATCTATCAAATATTCTAATGACAAAAAAAAGTTCTTCGAATTAGAAGTAGGGCTGGACTCGGGCCGGGCGGCCTGACCCGGGACCGAACCGGCCCGGTCACTGTTTGGATGAGCTCGCTACAAAGCCTGATCAAGAAAAGTTCAATTTGATAAAAATTTGATATATAAAGTAAAAGATTAGGAGTGACCTAAGTTGACCAATGAATAGTGAACGGGAACATTCCAACGGGACGGGGGTATTTTATTAACGGTTCACTTTTATTCAGTTTTTCTCGTTTTCGATTTGATATAGTTTAATACGATTTGTAAGAAACATTACAAAACTCATATCGAATTGTATGATTAGAGTTCAAAGTTCATTTGGATATGGTTTGATTCGATTCGATGAACATATATGGACACCCCTAATATTTATAATAATAATGTTACTTATAGAAAATGGCAATGCTAAGATGAAAGCGTTTTAAATTCTTAATTTAAAATTACAGTTTTAGTTTTTCAAAATAAGAAAGTAAAGATCCATCATCATATATCATATTTTAAATTTTTAACTTGACATTTAGATCTAATAACTTACGGACACGGTAGTGCACAACAATACAACTTGTCCGCGGATTAGGGTTTGGTGTTGTGATTTTTCATTGTCGGTGATTTAGAGTTTTTAGGGATTGATTTCTCTCAGCTTCAATGAGAAGACATAGGATGGAAGGCGAGAAGATGAGTATGGTGCAAACTCTGGTCGGAGGTCTTGTTTCAACCGCAAGAGGTTGTGGTGCCGTGATCAAGACGACAAGGACTAGGGGCCTATGCTCATACGAGGGACACTGAGAGCTGGGAAGCGATGGGTTTGGTGAAAGTCAGAGTTCCACTGGCGATGGAGGTAGGATCAATCACAACGATACTGATGGTTCGACCTCATCCTGAATAACCGCCATGGGTTGAATGCGGTGCTAGAGATCGAGAAATTTATTATTCATCCCATTAGTTATTGTTATTTTGTTGTTTGCATTCTTGTTAAAGTCTATGTTGCTAGGTTTGTTGGGATGATTGAAAAATTAGCTTATTTTTATGTCGTTAGAAGTATGCAGATCTATAAGACCAAAAAAGTAAATTATATGACCAGTGATGGCCGTGTCAAAACCGTCTTGTGATTATCAATTCGTATTGTTTATTCAAGGATGACAATTTCTATGTCTAATTTTAGGGTTTATAACCATATTTCTATGATGGGTGTCATATACCGCCTCCGTCCCATTAGACTTTGCCAATTTCCTTTTTTATTTGTCCCAGAAAACTTGTCACTTTCCTTTTAAAAAATGAATTTGTGGCTCTGTTCATTTTTTCTTTCTCTTTTGCACAAATCTAAAGCATACAAACTTTACCTTTTTAATTTCCCACTCAACATCAACTTGGCAAAGTTGAGTGAGATACCTTACTTGAAGGGAATGATTACTCTCTCCGTCCCCTGACAACTTCGCCAACTTTTCATTTTTTATTGTTTTACTAACTTTGTAACTATAAATTTTAAGTAAAAAATTGTGATTCACTTCTATAGAAAAACCTCAGTCGCACAATATTTACTTTATTAATCCTCGTATTGATCAAACTTGGTCAAATTTCAGACGACAGAGGGATATTAAAATTTGTTGACGTTGATGTTTTTACTCCATTAGTTTAGAGATATTTGTCAACAAAACATGCGCACATGCGGTTACTTGATACAGAGTATATGTGAAATTTTTATTCTAATATTCCGTAATTACCGTAATAATTTTTTTTGAAAGGAAACTGATTATATTATATCAACCAAAATCCTCAAAGTTCTTCCACCCATACATCGCCAAACCTCCTCATGAGGTTCCGCATAGTCAAAAGGCCCTCTCACTCTCTGGCTAGACATAGAATAGACCACCCCGAAAAGAGCGAGACTATTCGTGAACCATGTGAGAGCTCCGAATCTTTTAGCGGCCAAACATGCCTTGTTGTTCGACCAACAGTAACATCCTGAACAAAACATGACAAACAAAGCACCAACCTACCTCTAGAATTCAAAACGAAAGTAATAGCAACATGAGCAAAAGAAAAGGAAAAAATGTAAAAATAATTAAAGTCTTCATGGCTTCCTGCCTTATTTATTCCCCAAAGCTGCGGACCAGTACCTCTCAGTTCTGTGCCTGGCGAGCTACAAATTTGTAGCTCGTCTCTTCCCCGTCCCCCCCACCCCCGACATGAACTAGCTCAATCTCTTCCTCAATCTGGTAAGCTTCTGAATCCTCCAGGTACCCAAATCCATACTGAAACTGTTAACTTCCAATCCCTTGCATCTCTTTCGCTCACTGGCGGTGGTTCGGGAGGGGAACGAATCGTAAGGACTTTGTAGCCGATTGTAGCCCCAGTTTGCCCCTTTGTACCGACTCCAAACGACTAGTGATCCACCCGGATCAACCGTCGCTGGTGCAACTTCCATCCCGGTCAACAATGTGGCCAAAACAGCTAGAATGAGCATATGAAATTCAGGCTTTGCAACCCTTTATCGACAAAAATCCATTGTCTCCTCCAAATCTGCTGAACGCCTTTGACATCACTCGCACCAATAGGAGAAGACAAAAGCCCCTAGCCGCAGATGAACCTTCTCTCCTTCCCTGAACCGATAATCTCGTAGTCTTCTCTCCATCCCTGCCTACTCTTACCCGGCAAACTGAGATCCACAAAGGAAGTCGTCGAATCTAACCCAAACACTGTGAAGCAAGAAAATTGCACCATCTACAAATGATTCGCACGAATAGAAGCAACAAAAACGAAATTAAAAAGCAAAAAACAGAACAAGACTCAGAGATAGCCTTAGGAACCCGTCTTGCCACAAACTATCCGCACATATGGGGGCGCCCAAAACCCTACATAACGTAGGCACTTCCACTTTCAATTCTAATACCGTAATAATTTTAATGATTATGATTGTGTTGTTTATTATGGAGTATTACAGAATAATAATTATAAATAATAATTATGATAATAATTTATGCATAAATTATACGAGTATTTCAATACGGAGTACAGAGTACGGAGGAATATTTAAGGATAACATATTTTTCTTATTTGCAAAGTGAACACAATAATAAGGAGTACTACACAGTGTAGTCTACACTCCATAGTATGAAACCAGATTGTGTAGTTTTTTTACTGCTCCGTATTCTACGATCAGATCTTGAGTTGATTTCCCCAGTGAATTGGGAATGGTTAATGCGAGCCTGTCCGCCGCATCCAAGCGAAATGCGCGGCAGTTCCGGCCGCTGAACGTGATCTCAGCTGCCTTCTTCGCGGCGGTCTTCATTTTCTTCTTCTTCGTCTTCTCGCGACTTGGCGATTCCCCTGGACCGTCAGGGAGGAAACCTACTCTCCGCTCCGCCGTGGATCCTCAGCAGCGTAGCCGGCTAGTGGAGCTCATAGAGGCGGGGCAGCTGTCTTCCCCTGTCCCGTCCTGCCCTGCCGGTGATGTCGACCACATGCCATGTGAGGACCCAAGAATCAACAGCCAGCTTAGTAGAGAGATGAATTACTACAGGGAGAGGCATTGTCCCTTGCCGGAGCAGACTCCGCTCTGCTTGATTCCACCGCCTAAGGGTTACCGCGTTCCTGTCCCGTGGCCGGAAAGTCTGCACAAAGTAAAGTTTATTTTTCTTATTCACGTACTGAATTTAGTTATTTTTATGCCCCCCATTCAGTTATTTAGGCCTTCCATTTACTTATTTTTTAAGTGCTCATAAATGTATAACTGTGTGAGCTTTAGGAAATTTTGTTGCAGACACATGGCACAATGTTACCCAAAATTTTAAGTTACTGAAAGTGAAGGATTCTTGAATAATTCCAACTCAGTAGTGGTAGCTAACTAGAACTAAGGCATTGAGAAGGTCCATCACATCTTTTGCAGAATTGCACTATGCGCATCCGTTGAGTTAAAATCTGGCTATGGTTAGCTGGATTGTACATTGGGTGAGGATACTCAACCCTTAATAAACTTAGCTGTGTCTAATCTGTTCTAGTGACTGTTGTGGGTTAAAAGGGAAACCTTTAAGTCCTTTTTCTTAAAAAAAATATTTCAATGCACATTGTTGTATTTGTTGTTGCAGATATGGCATGAAAACATGCCTTACAACAAAATAGCGGACAGGAAAGGGCACCAAGGATGGATGAAGAAAGAGGGTCCTTGCTTTATCTTTCCTGGTGGTGGTACCATGTTCCCAGATGGAGCTGTACAATATATCAATAAACTTAAGAAATATATTCCTATAGCTGGTGGTGTTTTGAGGACTGCTCTTGATATGGGATGTGGGGTAGGGAATTCAATGTTTATACTTATATGGAGCTATTCAATTTGTTTTAGATATCCCAAACTGTAATGTGCTATTATCCACTTTAGGTTGCCAGCTTCGGTGGTTACCTACTTGCTGAAGACATCTTGACCCTTTCTTTTGCTCCCAGAGATTCACACAAAGCACAAATACAATTTGCCTTGGAGCGAGGAATACCTGCATTTGTTGTCATGCTTGGAACCCAAAGACTCCCATTTCCTGCTTTTGCATTTGATTTAGTGCACTGCTCTAGGTGCTTGATTCCTTATACGGCATATAGTACGTTTCCCGTACACTATTTACATGGTCAAATTGTAAATATAAGAATATATCATTTTGATAAAATGTTTCTGGTTGTAAAAATAAACTTTTCCTTCCAGATGCAACATACTTCTTGGAAGTGGACCGATTACTTCGTCCTGGTGGCTACTTTGTCATCTCTGGCCCTCCTGTGCAGTGGCCTAAAGAAGAGAAAAAGTGGGCAGAGCTTCAAGCTGTTGCCAGATCAATTTGTTATGAACAGGTTGTTGTGGAAGGAAACACTGCCATCTGGAAAAAGCCCAACGACATGGGTGCATGTTTTCCAAACAAAAATAAATTTGGGATCAAATTGTGTGAATCTGATGATCCTCCGAGCGTTGCCTGGTGATTTCTCCTTTCAACAACTACTATGCTTTATTTCTTTTACTAGAAAGATGCTTACGCACACTAATGCAACTTTCATACTGATTCTTACTCCCTCCATCCAACAAAGGAGTAATGTTTGGTCAAGGTAGAACTTTTCAATCTTTACAAGGTACAAATCCTACAAGTCATGGAACCCTACATATATTTTTGAGATTTTTTTGGTAGTTTAATCAAAACATAACTTGTCTGTATAGATTGTTTTTGGCAAAAACAATGACAAATCAGTTTTGTTCGATACTACGTAAAAAACAGGACTTATTTTGGGACTGAGGTGAGGATGGAGGGAGTACATTACAGCATTGATGCTTACTCTGTATTTCATTGTGATAAATCAAGAGTCATTCTTGGAGTACACAAAAAGTGTACACTTTTGTAAACCTGCCTGTGTACACATATAATTGCTGACTTTTTCTAAACGAGCTGCCTGTGCAGAGGCAACTAGGGGCGGTGTACACAAAAAGTATACACTTTTTGTGTTCATCTAGATTTTAAAATAACTAATCTGACATGTCTTTACACTCGGGATAAATTGACAGGTATTTCAAGCTGAAAGAATGTGTGAGTAGGACATCTTCCGTGAAAGGACAATATGGTGTTGGTGCTATACCGAAATGGCCTCAGAGGTTGGTTAAAGCTTCTTCAAGAGCCACTGAATTGGACAATGGAATAGATGTTTTTGAGGCTGACAGTAGAAGATGGGAAATGACAGTTGCTTATTATAAGAAATCATTAAACATAAAATTAGGGACCTCAGCTGTACGAAATGTGATGGACATGAATGCTTTTTTGGGTGGCTTTGCTGCATCATTAATATCTGATCCTGTTTGGGTGATGAATGTCATTCCTGCTCAAGGTCGTCCTTTAACTCTTGATGTCATTTATGATAGAGGCCTTATCGGAGTTTACCATGATTGGTAAGCCTTTAATCTCACGCTTTTGAACGTCCATCATTACTCTGTACACTTTGTCTGAAGTACCGCATATTCTGGTAATACCAAGGGGTGTCTAACTCGGTATTTATCATTTTTTAATATTTCTAATAAACATTAAATGTTCCAGAATAAAAGAATAAAATTCCAATGCCATACTTTTTATGTCTATAAAACGAACTATCTGCGTTGATCCTCTGGTGAGATTGACACTCTGAAGTGAACTTTATATCTATATCAAATCTTATAAGTGCATTGAAGCTTAGTTATTGTAAGTTATAGAAGAGAGTGACTTTGCGGGAGTGTTTGAAGTTTTTCTCTATCAATAGGAGTGAGGTTATAGTGTTATACAGATGGTTGATACCAATAATGAACCCTACTACTAAGGTCGTTTGACAATTAGCGAGGGTCAGACTCATACTAAGGGAGTGTTTGCAATAGCTTAAAAAAAGCACTTCTCAGCTTTTGGCTTAAAAAAACACTTATTTACCAAACACTACCAATTTTTACTTTTTCTCGGCTTGCGTGTGAAAAGTGCTTTTCCCTTTTCTATTACACAAAAAGCACTTATTTTACCAAACACTACCAACTTTTACTTTTCAAAATTACTTTTTACTCAAACACTATCAACTTTTACTTCTCATCACTTTTTCCCAATCACTCCAAAATTGCTTTTTTTAAGCAGAAGCACTTGCAAACACTTCCTAACAGGTATAGAAGAATCATTTAAGTCTACCTGATTACCTTAGACACATTGAGGTGTTGATTTTACCCCATATGATTTTCCTACTTGTAAGTTGTTTGTTCACACATATCATCATTATCATGGTCGTTGGGCAGCCAGTCTTGATTTAAATTTGGCTTCATTTTAGGTGTGAGCCTTTCTCAACTTACCCTCGGACTTATGATCTAATTCATGTGGCTGCTATTGATTCCCTCACGAAGGATCATAATTCTGGCAAGAGCAGGTATGTACATTCCCTTGTATAAATTACTTCCTGTGAGGCTTCTTGGAATATGGTATTTCTTCATTTCACCATCATATAATGGAATTATGGAAGCACAGTTCTCATGCAATTTGCAATAGTTGTTATTACTCTTTCTAAAAATCCTGTCCAGTCCTCTCTGTTTAGCTTGTTCCCAAATTGACCCTGCCTTACATATTTACCACCTTTGTTATTTGGGGCCATTTGGTAAGGATATTTGAATGAAATGGCTGAATCCACTGAATTCTATGAAAGGAAAAGTGGTTGGTAGCATCCATTTTAATCATTTAGAGGGTGTTTGCAATTGATTTTGCATCTTGCTAAAAAGAAGAAGGTTGTCTCCCCTAGTTTGTGAAAATCTGATTTTGGAGAGCAGTTCACCCAAACACTCCTGAAATTGCAGATCCTGGAGTTCTTAAAAGCAGATCCAAACACCCTTTAGCAAGTTAAAAGCTGTTTGTTTTGATGATAATCACTATAAACGGTTTATGGGTAACAAACAAAACCTCGATCCAATCTTCACCACTGATGCAGGTGTAACCTAGTGGATCTGATGGTGGAAATTGATAGAATGTTGCGACCAGAAGGAACAGTTATAATTCGGGACTCACCGGAAGTGATAAACAAAACAGAACATATTGCTCATGCCATAAGGTGGACAACAAGTATTCATGAGAAAGAGTCCGGGTCTCCTGGGATGGAGAAAATCCTCGTAGCGAACAAGAAACTTTGGTTATCTTCAGTATCCCATTGACCACTCAATAATTCTATATATCCTTTCTTCTGTAGTTCTTCTGACCTTTTTATTTTTCTACTGTCCCTCACATTAGCTTGTGTAGAGGTAATTAGTAGAGTAGCCAAGAGGGTATAGTGCGGGAATGTACAAAAATGGCACAACTGTTACTGTTATACATTATACTAAGGAATGCCGCTATTATAATCATTATTATTACTGAAATGTTAGGGGTACACAACTTGTACACAAAATGTCGGTCACAGACAATTGGTACGAAATTGTTAGTGGGCACAAACATTTAGTAAAGTAGCCAAGAGGGTAGTCTTGGACTCGGATCGGGCCGCCCGGCCCGGTGACCTGCTACAGTCCGGTTCGGGTAGGCCCGGCCCGCTGGTTAGGGAAGGGCGGGCTCGGGTCAGCTGAATATGGAACCGGTTGGGCCGGGCTGGGCCCGGTTCGGGCTTTATTATTATTTTTATTTTATTTTTCAATTTTTTTTTAAAACCCGGGTTTGGTTGGATATTTTGGGCCATTTGGGGTGGTTTGGGGGTGGGGGTGAGGGGGCGGGGGGTCAGGGGTTAATTAGAAAAAGGAAAAAAATTACAAAGTGGCCTGAGGGGCCAAATTCCATCTTGAAAGTTGAAATATGTCAAAGTCAACCAAAAATATGTTTAATTATCAAAGTCAATGTAATGACAAATGATTAAAAATTATATAAGACAAATGTGTTTCAATAACTTATCTAGGCCGAGTTTAGGTAAGTCTCTAGTAGGTCTTTAGGTGGTGTTAATGACAACAAATTAAAGGTAAGAATTGGGAAGATATTATGATGGTAATGACACTAAAGGCTTGGAAACTATAGCATCGGTTCTTAGTGAAGAGCTGATACTGTACCATATATTATATAAGAAAACGGTTTAGTCTAGTTCAGTACTACGATAGTATATTCTTTCAGATTTCATACGGATCAAAACGTTTCTTCGGTACGGATATGGAAATCCAAGGTCCATGCTAAGCGCTAATTACTATTATTATAATTATAATAATTACTACTGCTACGAGTATTTTTTTATTAAGTACATTGGTGGCTACTTGTTTTTCTTCAGCAAAGTCACTACGCTTTAACAAAAAGTACTAGAAGCATAACACTAAATTAAATAGAAGAATATGATTACAAAAATGTTACTTGTACATTTTGGCTTACATATGACCTCGAAAAAGTAAACTGTCTATGCATAGACAACTTGGGGTCACAGACATTCCCTTTATGAAAATGAAAATCAATTGTCTGTGCATAGACAAAATACATTTGGTGTGTAAACAGGCGTGTATGCTGACATGTACAAGTGACATTTTTTTTATATGATTATGCCTTTGCATTACCAATGACCTGTTCAAATCCCAAAACACGTTAGTAAAGAGTCTTTTCATACTCTTGTTGATTGTCCTTTTGTGATCATCACTAAAACCACAGTAAGACGACCGCATCATCTTGTCTAAGAGCCACTAAAACGGCAACATAGTATCGTTGTAATATATTGACACTTGTCACCTAGTCACCTACCATGTGGATAAGAGTATCTAGAAAATAATAAGAAATAATTACATAAATATGATCAAAATAAAGATGATTTACAAAAATATGATTAGTGACTAGAGTAGTAATGAAATCATAGTAATTCATGTTCAAGTTTTGAGCTTAAGTTACCACAACACCACATTGTAGTAATGAATAGTCGTATTTATGTAAATATGTTTCATTTTGGTGGCTACTTGTTTTTCTTCAGCAAAGTCACTACGCTTTAACAAAAAGTACTAGAAGCATAACCCTAAATTAAATAGAAGAATATGATTACAAAAATGTTACTTGTACATTTTGGCTTACATATGACCTCGAAAAAGTAAACTGTCTATGCATAGACAACTTGGGGTCACAGACATTCCCTTTATGAAAATGAAAATCAATTGTCTGTGCATAGACAAAATACATTTGGTGTGTAAACAGACGTGTATGCTGACATGTACAAGTGACATTTTTTTATATGATTATGCCTTTGCATTACCAATGACCTGTTCAAATCCCAAAACACGCTAGTAAAGAGTCTTTTCATACTCTTGTTGATTGTCCTTTTGTGATCATCACTAAAACCACAGTAAGACGACCGCATCATCTTGTCTAAGAGCCACTAAAACGGCAACATAGTATCATTGTAATATATTGACACTTGTCACCTAGTCACCTACCATGTGGATAAGAGTATCTAGAAAATAATAAGAAATAATTACATAAATATGATCAAAATAAAGATGATTTACAAAAATATGATTAGTGACTAAAGTAGTAATGAAATCATAGTAATTCATGTTCAAGTTTTGAGCTTAAGTTACCACAACACCACATTGTAGTAATGAATAGTCGTATTTATGTAAATATGTTTTATTTTGGTAACATGCTTTATAGAAGTGCAATTTTGGGATGCATCCACCTCACAAAAGTAATATGGATGCATCTTGTTCATCAACCTCAATTGCATGCCCTTTGCAGAGCATTTTTGTCTGAGAGGTCCCCATCATTGGTGTTGTGATAGGAAACGACCCTGGCTCATTCTTGAGTCGTTAGTTAAACAAGATTCTATGCTAACAACTAATTCTTTTTCGTAGATAAGTGTTTGATGCAAAAAAAAATGAAGAAATAATAGTATAAACAAACATTATATTTTGTCAACATAAAAGCTCAAAAAATAGCAAACTATAGGCAAACTTGGTAAGTTAAGATGCATGGTATAAAGAAATAAAGTGTTATATGAAGCAAGAAAGGACAAGAGATATACATAAAATGATGAGTGGTGTACAACAATATGTAAAGAGGACATGTGAATACTTTTGACCCATTAACCATTCTAGAATTGAATTCAAAATTGGAATTCCTATAAGACAACTGTGAGGATAAGCAAGGGATACAATGAGATAAAATCCTATGTCAATCAATCTATGCACTTCTACAATCCAGCTGTAGAATTGAAGCATCCGCAGGAGCAAAAGGACATGAGAGAACATACAAAAACTCTCATTCAATAATGCTAGAGACTCACTTCAACTGAGACTAGGGTTAAAATTAATTTTGGTCGTTTGAGATCTTCCACACTTAGCTGATCAAAGGCCTCACTTTTGACTAGCAACCTAACCTCTCTCATTGTCTGAGGTGTTCCGGAATAAGACGGTTTCGGAGGTCAGCCGGTGCACCAGCAAGCTCTGCACACGACCACACAGACGAAGATATATATGTGTGCCATGCAACAAATTAAAGCGGGAAGAAATAATAATAATTGACCTAAATGGCAGTTAGGTGTACTATGTCGTCTCTGCAAGGCGAGGGTCCAGGGAAGGGTCCCATCAAAACCCATCAAAAGAGTATATATGAAGCAAGCTTACCCTTGTCACTTTTTGACAAGAGGCCACTCCCAATACTTGAACCCACGACCTTTTGATCACACAACAACACCTTAACCGTTGACTAATGCTTTGAGGAAAAAGTAATTGACATGGAAAAAAGAATTAACCTTGGGGAGTGAAGTCAAAAAGAGGAGGCAAAGGTTTCCCATTTGGCAAGCATGCATTTGGCTCCCTTAAAGCATCAAAGAATGGATGTGCACAAGCCTCCAACTAAGATAGATGTACAATGCGTTAACAAAAGGTTGGATCTAACTCAATCTCAAATCACAATCCCATATCACAAAATTAGAGAAAAGAGAATGATGTGTTACAAAAACCATACGTTGAACTAGCTAACACATTTAATCATTTTGTATTTCCAACCAAACCGAAATTCAGAGAAGCCCCTCAATTAGTTTAACCATTTTATTTCCAAGAACATGAGAGAAGGCGGAGAATAAAAATGCTTTTACTTACAGCACTACACCGCGTTGTTGGTGAGTACTGGAGCAGCCGTGATACTAGATCCACTGCCTCAGGAGGCATTCTTTTATGAAATACCTGGGAAATGCAAAAGGCCGGTCAGAATTCCCTACATATTGGCATTAATCTACTTTCAAAAACTTCTCCTTAAAATTTTGCTAATTGGCATTCTTTAGGCTACATGAACTCAAGAAGTAAGATCCTCAACGAATTGGTTCAAAGATGTTGGTATGCAACCCAAGATCCAATATTGGAAATATGCAAGTGTCCACCTAATTAGTATGAGGTCTATTTAGGACTTTCCTAAAAATACTAATGAGGACTTCAAGTGACGTTTGATGAAAACCAGATAAGTAAACAAACCATGTGCCACGGATGAGCTTTGACTTGTGGGAATTTGAATTCTTTGTAGTTTGGATTCATGCACTTGATCTCCTCCCTACTTGGTGTCCCTAAAACCTGAAGTATATAAATGCAAGTAAATAAAGATTATGAGCAATCAAGGGGTGAATAGAACTGAACTCCATTCCTATTTTCATGAGAAGAAAAAAAAATCATATAGAGCAAACCTTGATGATTTCTACAAGCAGGTCAACACTACTTTCTCCCGGAAATATAGGCTGCATGGGATGCAACAACATTCAGCGTATCAAACTATGATTTCGGCAATCAGTGGCGTATCCACTATGGGGCAGCGGGGGCAGCTGCCCCCACTCAACCCCAACCCAACCCCTATATATATGTCCAAATTTTTACAAGAAAATGCTCAAATTAAGAGTTAAATGTAGAAAAAAATTCTTAAATAGGATTAGAAATGTTTTCTTTAATATTAAAAGAATGAAAGGCTAAAAAATTCACTAAATTTTGTTATGTTTAAGACTGTTTAACTTATATTTAAGTAAATTTATTACATTTTATCTGCAATTACATCTTTACACACCCGTAATATAAATTAATCTTCTTTTTATTCATACTTGTACATAGATATTATAAACTAAATTTAATCAAATGTGATTTGTTATTTGTGAAATATGAGACTAAATTGTAGTCAAGTTTGCCCCCACTCGCCAAATTTTCTGGATACGCCACTGTCGGCAATAATTGTTTTTTATTTTACTTTCCATATAGTAAAACAGTTTACTAAAAAGGGGCTAGAAATGAAAAGACCTGTCCAAGGAGAAGCTCGGCCATAACACAGCCAACAGACCACATGTCAATTGCAACCGTATACTCAGTGGCTCCAAAGATCAGCTCCGGAGCCCTATAGTAGCGAGAACAAATATATGATATATTTGGCT